ACCCAAGATCTTCACAAAGAAACAATGGTAACAACCATGAGTACGTAAAACCAAGTGATCTCGCGAAGACCCCCGTTAGAGTCTGCAAATATTTGTCCATTCTGGGAAATGCTTTGCCCTGTTCTCATGTAATCACTCTGACCTCAATTTAAAAAAAAAAAGTCTTAAATAGTTACTTCCCAGATACTAAAGTGCAAAAGAAAAGGAAGTGTAGAGAAAGATACGGAAAGGGATTGGGGCACCATAGCTTAGTCAGCTAATCCTGTGATTGTTGCGCTGGCATCCCATGTGGGATCTGATTCTACTCCCACCTGCTCCACTTCCAATCCAGTCCGCTGTTAATGGCCTGGGAAAGCAGTGCAGGATGGCCCAAGGCTTTGGACCCCCGTGTCCGCTCCTCATGGGAAATCTGGAAGAAACTCCAGGTTCCCAGCTTTGGACCAGCCATTTGGGGAGTGAGTCAGCAGATGTAATATCTCTGCAACTCTTTCAAGTAAAACAAATCTTATTTAAAGAGACAGAGAGAGAGAGGGAGAGAGAGAGACATGAAGTGGCATGAGAAAGCACCATCTCCTGGAAAAGGAATGTTTTCTGTACCTCAAGGGAGAAGAGAGGTCCCCAGAACCAGACATTGGAGTCGGGACCATGACCCCAGTAGCCCCTCGCTCAGTCCCTCACACACCCTTCTGTTTCATGCTCACTGTGATGTGCAATCCTATTCATGAAACCACTGCATCTGCCGTCCCTGGGGCATACGTGTGCTGCCAATGAAGCCACATTCAGTGTCTTGTGCTGAGAGGACCTGCACTCGCCTGCTCGGGGAACTGCTGAAGCCACTTCCTCCTCCAGGAGCTGCCTTCCAAGGCTGGCTATTCAGGAAGCTGCCGAGAGGTCATGTTCAGGTTAAATCCAATGACCAGCTCCAGCTAAACCTCATGGGAAACAAACATTACACACTTCCAAAGACAAACTGGCCCTCAGGAGTGAAAACTGGAAGAAACTTAAGGGCAGTCTGGACCACCCATCTCCTTTCCCAATAAAATGTACAAAGCTTTTGATCCAGCAAATTCCATAGCTGGGATTATAACCCAAAAAAGACGCAACGGCATGCTTGCAATGGTGTTTGAAATTCTGTTTAGAGAGGCAGAAGGGAGGGAGAAAGATTGGAATCATTTAACAACAGACTGATTAAATAAACTGGTCAACTGATGGCAACTAAGTACTAAACAGGCACAGGCCTACACACACTACAGGCATATAAAGACAATACACAAATGATAGCACCAACATACATCACTCACATGCATGCACGGTGGGCAAGGAAAGCCTCCGCAGGGGGGACACCATGAATATGAACACTGGAGGTCAAGGGGGGATAGAGAGGGAATTATAAAAAAGTACATTTCACTTTTCCTTGTCTTTCTGGCACATATTACTCTTACCAAAAGAAATTTAAAAATTGAGCCTTTTGTAATGTTTCAAAAGACTATATTAAAAAGCCATCTTTTTGGAAAATGATGTAAGACAAAACACACAGTGCCAGAAGTTTATATTTTCCAGCACTAGGGATGGTCTCCACCCGCACTCCGTCTTTCTCTCCTTGTCTTGCTCCCCTCCCAGCCCTTCCCTCCAAGGTGTTCCCCCTTTTCCATGTCTCAGAAAGAAAGGCTATACCTGGCTGGAAATCTGGCTGTGAATGAGGCAATGAGAGAAATTACAGTGGGGCCTGGCGCAAAAGCCTAGTGGTTAAATTCTACCTTGTATGCGCCAGAATCCCATACGGGCACCAGTTTGTGTCCTGGCTGCTCCACTTCCCATCCAGCTCCCTACTTGTGGCCTGGGAAAGCAGTAGAGAAAGACCCAAGGTCTTGGGACCCTATGCCAATGTGGGAGACCCAGAAGACCCTCCTGGGTTCGAATCAGCTCAACTCCAGCCATTGCAGCCACTTAGGGAGTGAACCAGTGGATAGAAGGTCTTTCTTTCTATCTCTCTCTTGTATATCTACCTTTCCAAGAAAAGTAAGCAAAGCTTAGAAAGGAAGGAAGGAAAGAAGAAAGAAAGGAAGGAAGGAAGGAAAAAGGGAAGGGAAGGGGAGGGGAGGGGAGGGGAGGGGAGGGGAAGAAGGGAGGGAGGGAGGGAAAGAGAGAGAGAGAAAGAAAGAAAGAAAGAAAGAAAGAAAGAAAGAAAGAAAGGAAGAAAGGAAGAAAGAAAGAAAGAAAGAAAGAAAGAAAGGAAGAAAGAAAGAAAGAAAGAAAGAAAGAAAAAAAAGAAAAGGAAGTTACTGTCCCAGCTGACATCTTGCAGTAGACATTTTCTTCACGTGGCTCAGGAACTGCTGAGCAGAGTAACTCAGTCAGTCGTGTGACTGTCACATGGTCACCATGTTGTCAAGGAGTCCTGATGTGATCTGTTCATTCTAGAAGGCTGACCTCTCTTAAAAATACAAAACAGACGCAACAAAAACAGGGAGGAGGTTAGGGAGGATACCCAGACACCAAGCTGTGTGATGCCAGCTACCGAGACAGAAAAGGATAAACAAACAACTGGCCGATAATGATGTTACAGAGGAGCTGGGAGTCGGGGAGGGGAATCGGAGCAGGAGAAATGAAGCCAGAAGCAAAGACAGAGAAGCACACAGGATATTTGCAGGGTTGAATCAAGTGAACTTCTTATAAAAGGTAAGCAGCATCCAAACCACAAAGCGCAGGGGTTGAGAAAGCACAGCTTACATCTGGGCAGGCAGAACTGCCAGCATTCGGAGCACAGGGAGGCAGCATGCCACAGAGGCAGCAGCGGGATGAGCTGACAGTCACAAAGCTGGGACCTGGGGCAACAAGACATGGCCCCTGAAGGAGATTAGATTTCACTCCAAAAACATGGCTGAAGTTCAGTGCCTCTGTTTGAATGGAAAGATTCCAATTCAAGAAGCCAGTGACCCCAGAAGTCCACTGGAAGATGGAAACTCAACCCATCCTCTCATTAAGACCTACTAAAGGGTCCATGCAAGTATGGTAAGGTTGTCACCTATGGAGCCAGCATCCCATATGGGCACCAGCTACTCCACTTCTGATCCAATTCCTTGCTAATGAGTCTGGGAAAGTAGTGACCCCTGCACCCACACAGAAAACCTGGAAGAGGCACTCTCACTCCCTCCCTCCCTCCTCTCTCTCTCTCTCTCAATCTCTCTCTCTGCCTCCCTCCCTCCTTTCTTCCCTCCCTCTCTCTATTTTCCTCCAGCCCTCATCTCTCTGTCACTCTGCCTTTCAAACACACACACACACACACACACACACACACACACACACACACACACACACACACACACAGAGGCATGCCCTGCCTGGGTTTCCAATCAAAAAGACAACCCATCAGAATACTCTGGGTTGAAAGGATTCAGACTCAAGGAGATGAGCTCCAGGACAGAAGGGCTCACATGAGGTATTGTGGTCATCAGAATCTGAATCCCAAGCACAGAGAGGTGGGGGAGGGGTTCTCTAGGCTAGTAGGGAGTTTCTAGGTGGGGAGGGGCAACAGAGCAGGGTTCCCCTTCCAGACAAGCGGATACCTACACTGACATCAGAGGGAAAGCCTACAGAAGGGTCCAACGGAAGTGGTGACATTGCAGACCACCACAGGGCTTGCCTGCTCTGAAATCGCCCTTCTGGACAGTGCCTGCCTCCAGTCACGGCAGGGATGAACTGGGGCAGGGGAGCTTCACCTTACAGGGTGCAGACAAGCCACACCTGCCCTACAGAAATGCAACTGCAGCAAGCAGCCCCACTCCTCCCAAACTCCAACTGTAGGCAATGAGATGGCAGAGGAGCTAAGAGCGCCTCGGATGTTCCCTGTGGAGCCAGACAGTTAAAGGGAGGCTAATGTGGCTATTTACCCCCAAACAGCATATGAGTGACCCCTGCTGCTCATGTGGGAGACCCAGATGAAGTCCCGGGTTCCTGGCCTCAGCCTGACCCAGAATGAGCCATTGCAACCTTTTGGAGAGTAACAGAAGGTGTGTGTGTGTGTGTGTGTCCCCTTCTCTCCCTCAACTCTCTTTCAAATAAACACAACCCTTTTTCAAAATACGGTAAATTATACATAATATTTTTCAGTGAAAAATGAGTACAGATTGTGTATGAGTTCACAGCATTTCTTCCACTGCAATAGAAGAATTTTACACTAACCCAAGACAGTCCTATTCGATTAACTTCCATCTTGACTCCCAAGACCAGTCTATAGTTACAGCCACATCACAAGCAAAAGCAATATACAATGTAAGGTAATATTTCAATAGGTCCTATCTGGCAACACGAACGACCCTTTAAAGACTAGTAGCACTTAACACATTCTCTTGAAATATCAGCTCCAAGTCACAGAAAAGCAGTTAATGTGCTACAGAGAAAACTCAAAAATGCAAGTCTAGATGCAAGTATAAGAAAGTGTTCAAAACCAGAAGTGACCCAGGGTGGAGGATGGAGGCAAAGACAGCCACAACCCCCAGAGCCCAACTCAAGCAGAAATCAAAGGGAACAGAGGTTTCCGTGGGAGACCAGCACCCAGCTGCCCTCCAGCTGCCCCAACACCTGGACAAAGGAAACCAAGGTACAGTGCTGGCACTGTAGGACAGCAGCTTAAGCCACCACCTGCAGTGCTGGATCCCATCCCAGCTCTAGTCCTGGCTGTTCTGTTTCAGATCCAGCTCCTGGTTAATACACGAGACAAGGAAGCAGAAGATGGCTCAAGTCCACCTCGCACCTGAGTGGGAGACCCAGGTGGACATGAGCCTGGCCCCGTCGTCTTCATCACAGCCATGTGCAGGTGGGAGATCTCCTTCCGCGGCAGAAAGCCCAGCTGGGCCTGGCCTGGCCTTCAGAACACACACCTCGGAAACTTTCTGACCACAAGACAGAGCTCAGCCGCGTGGACAACGCTGCCTACGGGCAGGCTCTACACAGCCGAGCTGCGCTGGAGGTGGGGTGCTGCTGCGACGCCAAGGACTCACCAATGAAGTGGTTCTGCCCCAAGCTGAGCATCTCCTCCAGCAGCACCAGCCCCCCTGGCGCCTGCAGGGGCGTCACACTGCGGCCGTCGATGAGGGAGCACTGCCGGAAGCCCGCAGCCGTGACCTTCCACAACAGAATCAGCGAGATGGAGGCATCCTGCAGAATCCTGAAAACGGCAAGGATGGAAAGTCATGCTCAGAAAAACACATCCTAGAGCTAATCCGTCAGCTGCTCAAGACGACGCGTGCAGCCACACAGGTCTTGGGAGGACAAGAACCACCACCTTTTCTGCTACATCCGCTTGTGAACGCTGAAGGCTGCACATGTCTGCTCCACTTACTCAAAGTACACTCGACGAGCAATCAGGAACTCACCTTTGGGGAGCACTTCCAAGAAACATTCAAGTTTTTGGAGATCAGTTCTTCCGCAGCCACACAAGGTAAAGGGTTCTGGGGAAGTGTGCTGGGCCTCGCAGTCAGGACGCTGGCTGGGATGCCTGTGTTTGAGTCCCAGAGTCTCCCAGCTCCAGCGTCCTGCTCGTGTGCCTTCCTTGCCTGGGAGGCAGCAGGAGATCTTTCCAATCACTGGATTTTTGTTAGCTGCAGCTGTGTCCCCAGCTCCAGCCTGGCCCAGCCCTGACGGCTGCAGGTATCTGAACCCGTGGGTAGGAACACACACTCTGTCTTTCTCTTTCTGTCTACGCCCTTTGCCTCTCTAGTAATTTTAAAATTTAAAAGAGAAGGAGACGAAGAAACATCAGCATCTCGGGGAAGGGGCTTCGGGCAGTAGTTACAGATGCCACTTGAGAGCCCCTTCCCATTCCCAGTGCCTGGTTCAAGTTCTGATTTCAGTACCGAAAAAAAAAAATTTGATCGATTGACCAGAAAAGCAGAGTAACAGAGAGAAGGAAAGAAAGATTTCCAGCAGCTGGCTCACATTTCAGATGGCCTAGGCTGGGCCAGGCCCACGCCAGGAGCCAGGAGCCAGGGGCTTCAGCTAGGTCCCCCTGTGGATGCCCAGGCCAAGCACTTAGGTCATTTTCCACTGCCTTCGTAGCCACATTAGCAGAGAGCTAGATGATGTGAAATAGTGGGACGCGAACTGGTGCCCACCAGGAAGCTGACAATGCAGACAGTGACTTCATGCGCCATGCCACAGTGCCCTCTAGGACTTCCTGTTCAGCTTCCTACTGACGCACAGCCTGACAGACAGCAGACGAAGGTTCAAGTACAGGGGACACTTACACCGGGTTCCAGGCTCCTAGCTTGACCCTGGCCCTGCTTCAGCTACCACTGGTGTTTGCACAGTAACCTACCAGATGGCAGACCACTGGTGTGTGTGCATGCTTGACCACACACTCCCTCCCTCCTCTCTCTGCCTTTCAAAGTAAACCAATCTAAGTCAATACTAATAAGTACATAAAGGCTGCTTAAATGTCTTATAAGTTTGTAACCCAACCCTCCACAAGTGTGTTCTCCCAGTGCCCCCCATGTGTAGCACCCCTGGCTTCTGGCGGGTTTCAGGATGCAGTGCAGGAGATGAGACGCAGCAGAAGGCCTGCCCAGCTCACCCCAGCTCCCCCCTGGGCCTCAGCACCTGCTCCTCCATCCTGCACCGAATGCTGTGGGGACAAGGGTCTGCCACCTCTTCCCAGGTCCCATGCTGTACACCCCTTCTCCACCTGACAAGTGTGCCTGCCTTCACATCTTCACAGAGACCCCTGACTGCATGCTGCCATGACAGCTACAGCCCCTCCAGGTGCACTCCCGGCGGACTGGGTTTCCACCCCCATAAGCAAAGGACAAGGCTCCATCCTCACCTGTACCTACATCTGCACCCATACCTCTACCTCCTCCCCCCACCTCCTCCATCACCTCCACTATCACCTCCTCCCCCACCACCTCCTCAGCCACCTCCTCCATCACCTCCGCCACTACCTCCTCAGCCACCTCTACCTCTACATCACCCCCCAAGAAACCAGGGCACTAAACCCATTCTGAACTTTATGTATCCTGGCCACACTCTGCCATTTCTGCCCAATCCTGCAGCCTGTCAGGGTTATGGAGAGCACAAAACCAAAAGCATTTAAGAGGCTGCAGACCAGAACTCTGGAGAAAGGCTTTAAAGATAAGACTATTTCCCCTCCACGGGAAGAAGTCAAGAGACGATTTCGTAAGAGCAAGTGAACTGAGGGCTCCCTGTCCATTTCTCCAGAACCGTCCCTGGACTAAGGGCCTTCACCAGGACAAGCAATGAAACACTGAGCTCCGGGCTCCCCCTGCTGGCGGAGCTTGAAGAGGCCTCAGAGGCCAGCTCCCTTTCACTGGGACATTGCCCCCTAAATGGCTCTTCCCTCGCCCAGAACTCAAGGCTCGGGGAAGGGTGACACAGAGGGCAGGGAACAAAGTCTGCCTAACAGACATTTTCAGAAACTCAATTGTTTAGAAGGCAACGTGGCAAAAAAAAGGGGCTGGTACACATGGAAAAGAGGGCTGGGGTGGCCACTGACCTCATTAAAGGGGATCAATTATATCAGCTTGACCAGCCAGAGCCACATGTTCCACCATCTTCAAAAATCCCACCAGACACACCTAAGGATGCACAGGTGGCATGGGCAGGGTGGCAGGTGGTGGCACAGAGGACAAGGCAAGAAGGTAACATAGGCTGTCCGTCTGTCTGCACACCCTACTCGGAGCCACACAGACAGCACCCAGCAGTGGCAGGCGTTCGCCTGGGCAATGTCACTCTGCTATGCTTCTTCCCTAGGCTCTCGGGTGACATTGAGCAATCTATCATTTGAAAGCATTTTAGCTAAATACTCCTCTCAGTTGCTTGCTTTTAAAGAGAAAATTGTAATATGTGGATTTTGAAATTTGGGGTAAATTTTGCATGAGTTTAACCAGTGGAAAATTAAAATCTAAAGATACTAGTCATTTGAGAAGCAAACAACATATGGGAACAGAGGCATCCAGCTTTGGACTTGCTCACTCCGACCTGTCCTATCCTATGTCAAGTGCACACCCCAGCTAGATCCCAGGTGACGCCCTGTGCTGACAGAGCCTCCTCCAGCTCCTGCAGACAAGGGACGCATCCTCAGGGTGCCCACTGGACTGGCCAGAAATGAGCCAGTTAGACAGAAGACAGCACCTGACACATGGACATGGGATCAATAGTGATTTGATTTTATATATTGATTGATTGGCCAATTGATTGTTTGAGAGGCAGAATGTCAGAGTTCCCGTTCAATGGTTCATTCCCCCAAATGCTTACAATTGCCCAAGAGTGAAGCAAGCAGACAGCGAATCTGTCTACGTCTCCCACATGGGTCCTGGGCAGGAACACATGTACTGGAGTTATCAGCTACCGCCTTCCATGATGTATATGAGTAGGAAGCTGGAGCCAAGAGCAAAGCTGGGCACTCCTATATGGGGCACAGGTGGTCCAAGTGGCATCTTAATTACTAGGCAAAACATGCCCCATCCCAAACTTGTTTCTGTATATACATTATTATAGGTGGACAGATAGGCACAGATATACCTACATTGATTGGATCATTTGAAAGGTGGGAGTAGAGAGAGAGAGAGAGAATGAATCTTCCAACCACTGGTTCATTCCCCAAATGGCTACAATGACTGACACTGGTCCAAGCAGAAGCCAGGAGCCTGGAAGTCCATCTGCATCTCCCACATGGGTTAAAAAAAAGTCCAGCACTTCTGCTGCCATTCCAGCACACTGGCAGAGAGAGGATAGTATATGCAATAGCCAGGACTCGAACTGGTGCCCATATGGATAGGAGGCAAGCAGCAGCCCACCCTGCTGCTCTGCAATGCCAGCCCCACCCCGGCCCGCCCAATCTTGTCACACAATGAGATGTCTTACTTCACTGAGGTGTTCTGAGGCACGTCAAAGGACACCAAGCGGCCACCTGCTGAGCTGTTGGAGCTGGCATTCCCACAGGCAGTATCAGGGATCACCTGTGAAAAGAGAAGGAGACCCATTCTTGGGTTATGATGGTGAATCCCCTCACCCCCTTAGCAGCGCCTCAACAAGAATGGGAGAGATGAGTGACAGCACAGGAACTTGGAAAGGAAAGCCTTCCATTCGACACACACACAGAGTCTTTCCCAAGAGCAACCTACAAATTCCTGAATCAACTGAAAAGTTGGATATTTCCAGAAAGGTGGCAGGATTGCACGCCCTGCCCCTTCCTTCCTTACAGCACCCCTGGGCCCTTGCTCTATGCTCAGCCTGAGCATCAGATGCTGAAAGAACAGGAGGAAGCCTGTTTAGACGGGCTCACACCTGCCAGAGATAGGTGTGTATGGTGAGAAAGACCCCCCGCCCGTGTGGATGGATGTGGGAAATGGGAAGGGGCCCTTCCTCATTCCTGCCTGTTATATCTTCACTTTTAACATATTTGTTAAGATTTATTTATTTTTATTGGAAAGGCAAATCTACAGAGGAGGGCAAAGAAGAGACACAGAGAGACTGTAAGATCTTCCATCATCTGGGTCACTCCCCAAATGGCCACAACAGTCAGAACTGAACCAATCTGAAGTCAGGAGTTTCAGGTCTCCCATGCAGGTGCAGGGTCCTAAGGATTTGGGCCATCCTCTACAGCTTTCCCAGGCCACAAGCAAGGAACTGAATTGGAAATAAGAGTACCCAAATGTAGAATGGGTGCCCATTTGGGATTCCAGTACTGTAGGTGGAGGATTAGCCTGTTAGCCACACGCCACCACTGCCCCCCACCGCCAGCCCTCCATGCCAGAGGAGCTCCTGGGGGTGCATGGCTTTGCTCTCTGAGCACACTGGGAACTCTTGAGCTGTGGTCCAGGGAAGGGCTCCTGACCACTGCACTCACTTCGTCTCTAAGATGTGGTTATGGTCCTTGTCCTTGACCAAGGAAAGGAAGGGGGCCTGAAAGTGTTCAAGGAGGGAACCCCCTGAGCACTGTACAAAGCTCTCAGCCACGCCCCTCAGCCCCAACCTGCAGGACGCATCCCCAGCAGTGTGCCGTCACACAGATTCTGCCGCTCAGCTCAGAGACGGAAGCCTGGCTTGTCACATGTGCATCAGTGACAGCTACTGCACACACCTCAGTCCCCCACGACCCCACAGCCTCCCGCTTCCCATCTCGCTCCCTGCTAATGCTCCCGAAAAGCAGCGAAGGATGGCCAAAGTGTTTAGCCCCTGCCACCCCCCGACCCCTGGATGGAATCGCAGCCTCCATCAGAAGGAACCAGTGGATGCAAGATACCACCATCCTTTTTCTCTCTCAAGTGAATGAATCAATCTTGTTTATTTTCAAGATTTATTTTTATTGGAAAGTCAGCTTTACAGAGAGCAGGAGAGTCAGAAAGGAAGATCTTCCATCCATTGATTCACTCCCCATGTGGCCACAATGGCCAGAGCTGCACTGATCTGAAGCCAGGAGCCAGGAGCCTCTTCCAGGTCTCCTACACAGGTGCAGGGTCCCAAGGCTTTGGGCCATCCTCGACTGTTTTCCCAGGCCACAAGCAGGGAGCTGAATGGGAAGCACTCACATGAGATCCTGGCGCATGCAAGGTGAGAACTTCAGCTGCTAGGCTATGGGCCCAAATGAATCTTTTTTAAAGGAAATAATGCCTGACACAAAGTCTGGACATTTCATTGTCACCTGCAGCCACCGCAGAGAACTGTGACTCTAAATAGACTGAAACGGCCGGTCAGAGAGCAATTTTCTTTAAAGGATATTTCCTTGATAAACCTGGAACCAAATCCAGTTGACATGCAAGAAATAAGTCACCTACAAGACAGGCATTAAACGCAACTTCAAAGCACTTATCGGAAGTCTGAAATGAGAGCAGCCAGCGCCCGGTTCTGGTAGGCAGGCTAAGAACGCAGTCTCAACGTGGCCGGCATAAGCTTGTGTGGCTTGAAAAAAAAAGTGGGCCAACCAAAAACTTAGTCAAATCATCCAAGAAATAAGATATATGCCTCTTACTTTTTTTGTACACAAATCCTTGATGGTAATATAAGTTAGACTCCTTATAGTAACACATCACCAAGACATGGAACAAAGCAACGCTGTTTCCGCAAAGCTGCAACTCTTGGTGTAGATTTGGTTCCCAAAGAGATATAGCTGGAAACTCTACATTTTATTAGAGATTTACCAGGAAATAATCTTCAGGTAAGACTTCTGAAGGTACCAGAATCCAAATCCCGTGGGACACATTTCAACATTTTGCTATCGTCAAAGTAAATAAAATTTGGAGATTTCATTGTTAAACACATCCTCAAAATATTCTGAAGTCCCACCTAAGTAGTAAAAGGTACTAAAACCAGAATCTAAACAGTAACAACTACATAGTTGGGCACCCTAACTTTCTGCTAGGGCCTGAATGTGGAACAACACTGGAAAAGCTCACAGAAAAATGCAACAAAAAGATACATTTACTTGGCTCCAAAAGTAACTTAAAATCCACACTTAGGTTTTATATATATATATATACACACACATATATATACATATATATATTATACATTTTCCATGACTTTATAATGAAAAATTATTCATGGGTTTCCAATTTTTTTGCACTAGAATAAATGTATCCATGAATTCCACTGCCCATCAGCTTCCTGAAGTTTCCCTTGCCTCTGCTCGGCATGCCAGTGTTGAAATGCAACCCTCAAGGTGGTGGGCTCAGGCGACAAGGCCTCTGGGAGGAGGCTGGGGCATGATCCACTCTGTGCACCTTCTGCCACATGAGGTCACAGTGTGATGGCATCCAAAGAAAAACACATCGTGTGACTCCCAGCTGGCCTTGATCTTGAGCTTCCCAGCACTGCAGGAGGGCCACCTTCTGCTTTCCCAGGTCATTAGCGGGGAGCTCAACTGAAAGCGGAGCAGCTTGCTCCAACGTGTGATGGCAGTGTCACTAAAGTGTGCTTACCCCACTGTACCCCCATACCAAACACTCCCCACCAGGGGTACGGCGAGAGTTCTCCCATTTTCACTGCTGATGGTAGAACCACCAGAATGCCTTTGACATTTCTGATTTCCTACAGAAAACCACACGCAGTACAATGTCCTCACCTTCACTTGATCCCATTTCATCTCCACAACTTTCTGGCCTGTTTTCGGCTGCCATGTCGGCAGCGTCACGGTGGCCTGAGAGCGGGATACGGTCACTTCGGGCTCCTGGGTGGCAGGAACAGGCTGGAGCTGTCGAGGGGCTGTGGATTCAGTCCAGCCTGAGACTGGGAGACTGGGCAGTGCCTGCTCACAGTGAGGACCTTCATAGCCTTCATCGCAAATACAGAGGTAGCCATCACTGCTGCTGCTGCTGCTGCTGCTGCTGCTGCAGTTGCCATGGTGACAAGGGTTGCTGGCACACGGATCTGCAAGGAGCTGAAACGAGACCATAAATGGGTCAATTATTCCCTCATAAGGAAAGCGGTGCCATCACTGGGAAATCAGCTCGGCGTCTCAGAGTGGCTGTTGGAACAGAAGCACTGCTCCCAGGCGGGGAATCAGGTTCCCAACGACTTGCAGGCACACTTTTCAAGGTCATTACCACATGATAGCAAGGAACTGAGTGGTGGTCGATAGCTCCCCAAACCCAATCCTAAGTTACAGTGACTTCACAACTTAGCATTCCATGGAAATGTCTAAGACATCATGGTTATAATCTAGGTTTGCAAGGAAGACACCCTCTTGGATGTTTTAGCTGTGGACCAAGAAACATCTTTGCCATCCTGGGCTTCTGCAGGGTCTCCTTTTGCAGGAAGAGCCATGTGATGTGTGCACGGTGTCACCACTTCCAAGAGTTGTCCAGTCTCCCCTAATCAGGGATCTTTTATTGAGTGATGCTACTGAATTAAAGGCTTCTAGAATGGTCTGTCTGCATCGCTGGCAAGTGCCAGGACAGGATGTGGGAGGAGACCTCAGCAGAACTCCATGAAACAGTGGTCTCATTATCGGTGAGGGTGATTTCAGAGGAATGGGACCCCATGGAGATGGGAGATAAACGTGGGTGGCACGTCCTTTTCACTGTGTTCTTGGGCGGAGGAAGTCCTTCACTGCTGACCTCTGAGTGGCCATCTGTTGGCACCCGGAGACACAAAACAACGGGAAAGATCACCTGCTCTTCCCCAGACAGCAAGGGCCCGGGTATGTTCCCAGTGCTTATTCAATTACAATTTGTTTCTGTGATAAAAGAAAATTAGTTCTCTGGCTGCTGTGTCCCTGGCTTCACTGGACTGCTCACAAAACAGAATTCAGCCGGGAACTAAGGACACAGAAAACAGGATGCTCGGATTTGGTTAAAACAGTCACACACCTAAGCACACAAATCAAGAATCCTACATGGAGAAATGATTACCTATTCTGCCAATCACCCTTATCAAACCATTTCCAATAAACTCCTTCAGGGAATAAGAGGTTTTGGATTGAATCCAATGGTGCGCCAAAAATGCCATATTCATTCTATGCTTTCATTCAGCAGTTCCTTCACAGAAGCTCACAGGAGAGCCAATAGATTAGCAGAGGATATTCGAACTTTGAATCATGTAAACTTCATAATACGTCAACTCAAGGTGAAACAGCCTCTGTCCACGGCAGATGAAGCTCTCGCTGACCGGCCCCCGCTCTTGCCCCCTGAGGTCGTCTCCTTGCACCCTCACTTTCTGCTGCTGGATTTTGCCTCATTCCTTCCCTCCCACCTCAGGGCCCTTGCACCTGCTGGGCCCACTGAGCACAATGCTTCAACTGGGAGAATCTGCCTGCTCTCCACATCTCATCTCATTCATTCTCTAATGAGTCACCCTGTCAGAGAAGTCTTCCCTCACAATGTGGTGAATGATCCAAATGAGGCCATTTTATTTTTCTTCCACCAAAAACTGAACCTCCCTGAATGCAAGGGGTTCAGCTGCCACAAGGACTCCATCCTCAGCACATGGAGGAACACGTGGTGCAGGGTGGGACTCCAAAAAGCATTTGTGGAAAGAGATGCAAACGCACAGACTGACTGGTAGTTGGGAAGAGCACGTGCTGAGGAGAGCTATGAACCGCCTGCAGTCACACAATGACCTCACCTCTGGGCTATTTTAGGAAGGCCCTGTGGAATGGGTGTCACCTTTAGAGCTGTCTGACAAGAAGAAAGAATTTAATTAGCTAGAACAAAGGAGGCATTTAAAGTTGCATTTGTGAAATAAACTTTCAAAATATCCAAGATTTACGTCACCACAAATGAGTTCAATATATGCATTAAAACAGCAAAACTACATTGAAATCACAAAGCATTCGTGCAAAATTTCATTCTGGAAAGCCAAACCTCCACTGAAGGCAGCTCAGAGGACAGCATTACCAGGTAAAAACCACCTGCCTGGTGACACAAGAAGCCTCCTGGCTATGGCTGCCTCATCACAGCCCCCTTGCTGAGTCCGGTCAGACCCTCAGAAGAGGTGTGTAGTGCAGCTTAAGACCCAGCACAATAGAGAAGTCCTTCAAAACACACAGACCCCGGTCCACCAGCACGCAACGATTGCTCTCCTGAGATGGTCACTCGCAGGGGTTGAAGAACCCAGCCAGGGAGTAGCTCATTCGTCCCCACAACAGCCCAAATCCCAGGTGGAAAACCGAAGGGCAGAGGCACTGAGTGACCCATGGTGGCCACTACAAAGGAAAGCCAGTCCTTCAGCCACATGCTCTTGCCACATCTCAGCACCAAAACATTGTTATCAAACCATCGTGATGCCAGAAACATCCTGCAAAGGAGGAGAGGCAAAGCTTATAGTTAGTTCTATATGCACCCAGCAAATCGGTAGAGATTAAAAGTGGACCAAGTCCATCGCTTCGAACACGCTTTCAGACCAGAGAAAGGAAAGCGATAACCCTCAGTGCACACTGACGAAGCCAGGCCATGACCGGGAGTCAAAGGTCTACAGTGAAAACTGATGCACTCAACCCCAGCAGGAAGCCAGTGCCAGCAGTAAGAACAACCAGTACCATCTGCCAGTCACTGAGTGCCTATCGTGTGCCCACCATTACATTAAACATTGTACCTTAGTTCCTAGTACAGTAAGAACATTGATTCCTCCAACCTTCCAAGAAATCTTAGAAACGCTAATCCGATTACTCAAGTGCACTGTCTCCCACTTGGTTCCCACAACCTACCAGGCCTCCAGACCTTCCACCTCAGGGTCCTGGCACTGGCTGTCCCCTCTGCCGGGATGCCTTCAGATCTCAAGGCTGATCCTAAGCGTCCTTTGGGCCTCCTCTGCTGAAGGCATCACCAAGTTCCCTGCGAAACAGTGCAAAGTCCGCAGCAGGTGGCCTTGCTGAGTCCTCATGAGCTCCTTGACTTTTTGAAGACAACTGTCATCTTCCAACATACTGTAACTGTCCACTTGCCATTATTTACTTTCCATCCCCCCTCATTAGAACCTCATGAGGTCAGGTTTGTTTTTTCTGTTTTGCTGAGGTGTCCCCAGTTCTTGAACGGCGCTGGCCCACGACTGCTGGTACATCAACAATTGCCCCATAGATGAATGAGTGCTGAGTGATGGCATGACATGTAGCCACCAGAGTGCAATGCTTCGTGAAGTGCACGTAGAATTCCCCACGGTCCCAACCCAAGTCCCGAGAGCATGTGGCAAGGAAGAACCTTGGGTGTCTTCACTCTTGTGCTTTGAGGCTCATGAAAAGTAACTGAATCTGCTCTAAAAGCAGAGGTGGAACAGAACCAGTAGAGCTGGCAGGCTTTGCCTTGATCATGACAGGCTCACTGGAGGACAAGCTGGCTCATAGCACAGTGGACCATGGGCCCGTCTCTGATCTTAGAGACACTGTGCCCTCTGTGAGCCACAAGGAAGCCAGCGACCCCAGAGCAGCATGAGAGGAACAGAAAGCTGGGTGGCCAGGGGCAGGTCCCCACAGCAATGCCCACTTTGCTGTCTGAAGGAGTCAGTCAACCACAGGTAAAGGACTCAAGAGTTGAGGATACTGGTGAGACCCATCAGGTATCATGAGGGCGGCTCTCTGGGCCTTAGGGACGACAAGGGCACAGCCAGCACATGCGCACCATGAAGGATGACTGACTAGGAAAGCCCTGTCGCTCAGCATCCTCAGGAAGCAAAAGAGGATGAAGCTAAAAATTCAACTGTCGGTAGTATAGATTAGCGAAGGAGTGATGCAGCACACTCCCAGACATAAACACACTGGGAGGCGACAGCACAAGTTCAGTGCCGTGCAGGGACACTGGTCTTATCCTCATGACACTCCTTGGCCTATTGATTAGCTCTCTCACGAGCTGGCAGCCATCACTCCTGTGCTGACACTTGCTCTACCTGCATCATAAAATGCAACAACTAACTTTTAAGCAAGAGCCTGTCATCCCGCAGACTTACTGAACATTAATCTGCACAATCATTTATAGTGTTTTTTTTTAATTTACGTTTGTATTTTCTCTCCTAAGGGAAAATTCCTATTGAAGAGGTCACGAGTGCTTTGAATCCCATTCAACTGGACCTACAAGCAGGTAATAACCAAAGTGCCCAAATGCATAACAAAGCAAAAGGTCATAATTAATAGCCCTGACTTTGAGCTACTCAATATTTAATGGGTGAGATTTTCACAGCTATAATTTCTAGTTTCCAATGATGATAGAAATGATCAACCTTTGTAATATCAACTGCAATAAAGAGAAAGAGGAAGCCCATGGGTTAATGATTTTCTGTATACACTTCACCAACTGGCTCATTTATCAAACATTAAATGTTATATGTTTGCTGCATCTACTAAAGCCAAATGTTTTCCATGCAGCAGACCTAACCTAAAACTGTTCTTTTTCCATTTTGTTTCAGATGTGTTCATCATTTTTACTAATGCCGTAACCCAGAGCAGGTATGAGGGCTTGGCCCATAGAGACGTGGGAGGCAGGACTTGAGTAAAGGTGCCTACCGGCCCTGAGACCATAATTAGACGTAGTCACCTTGTGACACATCAGCCTTCCCACAATCACCTACTATTCACGTTTTTGTCAGTGCCTATAGCAGCACAACAATGAAGGATGAGGGATCAAAGAAAAAGCCTGCAGAAGATATAAAACAGGCTCATTTACAGAGTCCCAAGAAACTGTGAGTCCTAGCTGACGGGGCTGCCTCAGACCTTATCTGCACAATGGTTGGGCCTCAAAGACACACACACCTCCCCGTCCCCAGGGCCCCTTCCACGAGAGTTAGATTTCAAGCTTTGTTCCTGTCCCTTGCAAACCTCTGCACTTTTACCCAAAACCTAATACGGTAACTGAGTCATTCTTGTGACACTCACCAATCCCCTGTGAGAACCCACATAAGGTGTCCAGAAGAGGGGTCTGGAAGGTGAGAAAAAAAACCCAGCCTTGGCCCTTA